AAAGTCTGGAGAGGAACCAAGATGGCAGCATAAGGTACAAACCTGTACATGCTGCCCCCACAACAACACTAAAACTACAACTATAAGACAAAATAGCTACCATCCAGAACCACGGGAAAGCTGGCCGAGTGGAAGTTCTACAACTAGAAGGAAAGAAAAAAGCACATTGAGACCAGGTAGGAGGTGCAGAGGCGCCAAGAACAGAGGTATGGAGGCACATGTGAGGAGGCTGCACCTGGGTGCACAGTTTTTTTCAATCGGAAGGGGATACAAGCTCTCGAATGCACTGAACTCGTTTACAGCAAGACTCTGGGGTCCCAGACTCCTATGGGGAGAAACTAGACTGTCTTACAGTGAGGGTGACTTTCTCGCAGAGCTGCTCGCAGGGATCATTGTTGCTGTGGGGGCACGGGACTTGGGGACGTGGAGATCCCATGAGTTGCAGAGCCGGCTGATGACAGCCATTGCTGCTTGCTCTGCCCTGGTGATTCTCTGAGACCCCGCCCCACTCAATTTACATCCCCACTCCAGCTGTGCGCACTGGTGCAAAGGAATCACCTGCACTTTTGCAGCATAACCTAACAAACTGCAGCTGGGTCAGAGAGCTCCAAAACTTCCAAACCCCAAACAAAGAGGAGAAATCTGCTGATATCACTATAGTTCCTGCTGGGTGGACTCACACAGTGTTTGACTTGGAGATCCAGGAGCCAGGGTACCCCTGGTCACACACCAGATTTCAACTCCTCACATCCATAAGGGACACACTCAAGAAGCAGACTCAGTGAGCACCAAAGCCCCACTGAAGCAAGTCCTACCCCATAAGGGTGTCTCCAGCACAGCAGTTCTTCCACTGTAGACACAGCGGGTCCTTGCAGTCAACCAAAAAAAACGCAGACAAAGAAACATGTCACAAATGAAAGAAATGGAGGAAAGCAAACTAATGGAGGGCATAGAGTTCAAAATAACAGTTATAAGATTACTCAAGAATCTTCTACGAACCTCCAAGGAACTTAGTGAGACCTTCAAGGATCTTAATGAGAATGCAAAAAAATAAAAAATAAAAAAATGGAAAAGGACCAGTCAGAAATTAAACATACACTAACTAAAATAAAGAATAAAATACAGAGATCCAACAGCAGATGAGAAGATCCCAAGAATCAAGTCAAAGATTTGAAATATGAAGAAGCAAAAAACACCCATCCGGAAAAGCAAAACGAAAAAAGAATCCAAAAATACGAAGCTAGTGTAAGGAGCCTCTGGGACCCCTTCCAGC